TATATTATTCTATATAATATCTTACATCAACTCGGCGCTCAAATACTGTGAAACTATTCGTTCTAATTTAGACAAGAGTTCTTATAAATTACTAATAATATTCACTTATATATGTTTTTTGACAACTATCTTTTATGATATTCACTGGGATCATGTATGGTGGAATCGTTCAACTCTGATTTGTCATGTTGAAGTTGTTTCGGTGTTTTCGTTCATTTTCCTTATAACAAAAAATATAAAAGACCAGTACAGTCATTTGTTGACAACATTAGCAAATTAACACAGCCAAATACTTTTAAACTGTAGTTATAAACTTGTGATTGAATGTTAGCCAGTGGGTTCTGTTATGTGTTTGTGAAATTGTAGTCTTTGCTGTAATTTTTTGTATACACTGATTTCTCCTTCAATCAATTTGCCATTATGTGTTCTGAAGACAATCATGAGTAGAATAGAACAGTGAAGTTCTTATCTATGAGGCCAATTTCATGTACGACGTGTACATGAATCAAATATTTGTGAGAAGCATCATGTCTTATTACATTATGAAGTTATCCTTGAAATTAGGCAGTAATCAGGTTTGAGAAAAGTTTATCTTCACAACCACATTTATTACTATTCATTTTTCATACAATTAATATGAATTTGAGCGAGTAACATTCTTTGATGTTTTAAGGGCATAAAATATATTTAAATCCCTCTACTCTCCGCTGTTACCTGTACCGTTTTCCCATCAATTAAAGGCGTCATTTTAGCCGCCAGTGAAATGCGTTTTATTGGACCCACAGAAGTAGCCAATTTAGTTCGGCGACGTCAGTTCTAGTTAGCTTTGTTGTCAGCCATGTCTAACTCAGATAATGAGACTGATATGAATTTCAGAGAGCTGTTCGTTGCTGTAGGAATTTAGACGGGAGCGTCACTCCTGAGACAACTGAGAACTTACAAGAATGTTACTTCTGCCACTTCACAATACGAGACAGTAATCGAAATCCAGATTATTTTTATATAAAACATGTATGTGAAAGGAAATGGCATCTCCTGCGAACAACGACTAAAACTCAACGGGAGTTTGTATTGAAGTAAAGTCTTTATCCATATGTCTAAAAAGCCTGTTGGTAGTGGTTACAAATTCTTTTATATTTGTTCGACTGATAGAAGGGTCTTATGCAGTATCAAGATGGTCAGTGAGTCATAATCATGAGTTACTGCGTATAGCATACGAGAAAGACCCTAGCTTCTGTCATTTCAAAGCCTAACAGAGGAATACGATTCATCTTTCATTAATTTTCTGAACTGTAGTTTTTGTTGTCGTTAGTTTTGTATGTGAAAATAGTAGAAAGAAAATAATCGCCCAAGATATTTCGGATGTGTGATCACGTTTATTTGGAAGATTGAAACTTCCAAGTCAATCGAACCTTGTTTATCATCACTTTTCAGTATATTATTTTGAGAGGTTAGTTATGTATACCATTGAGACTGGAGGTGCAGCAGAGACACATCGTGAAGTGAATGGTTGTCTGGAAAGCTACTTCTTTCAACGGTAAATAAACGAATCTAGGTCGTCGATTTTTCGATGTTGTAAGTACTGATGGTATTTAAAAGTGTAACAAAGAGCGCATTTCTCTAAACGAGATAGTGGTATTAAATGTCTACGCATTTAATTTGTTCAATAGTTGACAAATGGGCAGTTTCGAATGTTTCCTATTTTTATCTCACTTATCCGTCCAGTGATTCAGTTGATAATTAAGTCATATTCGAATTTATCCTTGGCGGGATAATCTGTGAATGGCTGCACATAACTGAAAAAACGTAGTCCCGTATATACGTGAATAATATAAATAGTTAAGATTATCGCTTGTTCTAAGACGTCAAAATTTTTCTGTGAAGTAGAGTAAGACTGAGAAACACGATAGATCAAATGAACTTTTTGGACAGTAATCAATGTTTATATCTCTAATTCCTTTTAAGTGATATTACAATCTACTATCCTGTTATTCACTATCATTGCGTGGGACTTCATCATATATATATTATCACTTTATAAATAAACAAAGTGATGTCGGCACTCAATTTCTCGGTTAAATTCTTAGTTACAGTATTATACTTGTGCACATACTTTACATTTTGAATTTTGTTGGCATTCCACATCAGTTAACTCTACTTCTCATAGAATTAACTGTTTAGCATTGAGTTGTTTTACGACTTACAGTTTTTGATGAACATTTAGATTGTTGAGCAGTTAGCTCACCAGCAGAAGTTAAGTACGATTAACCGTCATCTTAGGCTGGATGCTTAGAAAATTTATTTTTCCAAACATGATGAACTGACTAAAATAACTGTTCATGGACCTTGACCAATAAAATGGGAAGGGTGTTATTTTGACAGTGACTATATAATTAGTCTGCATCACATAGGAAAAAGGCAGAACGCACTAATCACATGAGTGATTTCTGGGAAAATAAGGAACAGAAATTTAAGAATTTTATTACCCTCAACTCCACCCGATAGAAAAGTTGTCAACATACATAAATAAACTTAAATTGCAGACCTATCATTTCACATCAAAAAATTTATATTTTTTAATACATCATTTAATAGTATATTACGTGTATCAAAAAGTAATTGTTCTTAACAAGGATTTAAACATCGAAAATTCAGTGAGACCATCAAATGTCAAAAATGCTCAGTGAGGTTCCAATAAATGAGATATTTCTTTTGCTCCTACAAGACGGATTCTCTTCCAAATACAGTAGGAATAACATGACGACGAAACAATTGTCACAAATAAGATTGTTTTTTTCTAAAGATAGTTTCGCTAAAATTCATATGACACATTATCGAATTCTAAACGTCATCCAGTTATGAATTACAAGCGATTATAAAAATGTTTTTATAATGAACCCCCTGAAAAGAATTCTTTCTATAACTATACTAATCTTATGACCTGATGTTTACATTGAAATGATAAGAATCTGAATACATTTCTACGTATAGAAATTTATTAATGACAGTATTATTAATGACGCTAATGTATGATGCTCAGTGAATAGTTAACTGCGAAGCTGATAAATATCTCACCATTGATCGGACTTAAACTTAGTGGTAAAGACTTTTCAGTTGGACCACTTGAAACTGAAGTTTGAAGCAATGTTCACAAATTAAACATAATAAAAAAACAGTATTTTTGTGCATTTTAGTGATAATTAGTTAACTATTGTACTGTACAAAAGAAACAGAAATCCGATCAGCACGTTTCATTCCAATGATTTCTAATTCACAGAATCAATTAGAAGATGAGTCAATGTATTCTATCTAAATCAAGAAATAAAAGTAAGTTCACTTTAAATAAACTGTCATTGTTAGGTCTGATTCACTCCAACTTCTGTGTATTGTTTTATATTACTTATTACCATTATTCAGCAAATAGTTTTATTCCTAGCAATTTCTACTCTTATGTGGTAACGCACGTTGGTCATATAATATTCTGAAATGTTTACACATACTTATAACATTCATTTTATTTATCATTATAATGACTTGACATCAATTACTGTAGTAAGCACAGTATGCACATATGCCAATTAGAGACTGACCAGTTGCAGTCCTAAACACATCGATGGGAAGATCCAAACAAACAATACTAAGTGAATTCAATTATTGTAGTAGTTATTCGAAATTTTGTGCAGTCGTTCAACCCCTGTTCAAAGTCAACAGTTTCCATATTGCTTGCACTTAGTTCGATTTTTGCTTGTTAATTAACCGTTATCGAGTTTAAACACAACCGACTGTCTTCATATTTCGAACAAAAAGACGTTGTAAACACTGAAGACACCTCACAAGTTGTGGTTCGTAACCAAATTTTGTCTATTATTCACTAAATAATAACTATTTGAGGCAAAACGATGTTTGTGAACTTCGATTTTTCACGTATCTCAATTGAGTGACATGGACGCTTCCATATGCTTTTCAAATGTAATATAACCACATTTTATGAACTGGAACTTGTGTTAAGATTTGATTATGTATTCAAAGTATCAATCTAGTCGTTATTTAACACAGATCAAAATGCATTTTGTTGACAACAATATATAAACATATAGATAGATTTTCATGTTCTATAGAAAATTCATGACTATTTTGTGACTACATTTACAGAAGACCACATTACCTATTGAGAATTCAATGAATATGAAAACTTGAAAGATGTCTGCTTGTTGCAGATTTTAATTCTCGACTGTGTGTTGTCAAAGTTCTAGCTTATTCAGGACTTTTACAAATACACAATCTACTTAGTCCTTACATATTTTTGACTAACGATTTATTCACCACATAATTGTATTTTATTCAGGGCAATACTTATACTCAATAGAATTTCATCAATAAAGAGTCGATATTAACCATTCGTTAACATGAGTTATCAAAAGTCATGTCAGTGGGAGATTTGATTCACATATAACAAAGCGATTTGATGAGAGACAATAATGTAAGCTTTCTGTATGTGGCTATTTTTTTTCTGAAATCCGATTTATGCCACATAATCTAGGTATATTGATAGTCTCGATCCGTGGTTATAGAGCTACTTAATGAGTAAGTTTCTGATTGTAAGAGTAAGGTGATTTAGACCAAACATACAGGTATGAGGTTTAACAGTGATGAAAAGTTTAAGTTTTATATACTAAAATGTCTAATCCATCAGTTTTGTCGTAAGCCCTAATTTCCTAACGTGTTCCGGTCCTAAGATGTTGATTCTGAATATATTTTATTTTACTTTATCGTTCTGAAGTATTTCGTTGCATAATATCGTCAATCTTTAATTATGAGCAATGTGTTATTTTCATTCTTCACTATTTGCTTCACAGTCCTTTATTCCTGTGATAGATGTTAGGTGACCTCTATGTGCATTCTCTTCTCAATGCATCTAATTTTATTTGCCATGCAATACATACTTGTTTTCACGTATTCTCCCAACGTACAACTAGGCATAGTCGCAAAATGAAAGTAAATTTCAAGCATTCCATCAAGTTGACTTTCTTTAGTTTATCCAAAATAAGTTAAAAGATGCAAAAATAACAACGAATTCACAATCAACAAAATGGATACAGATTTCAAATAAACTAATAGACGAGTATCATTATTACTGTTTGAATGTTTAACTTAATTTTGATTTGGTATGATCGTTATTTCTATAAGTTCAATATTTGTCTTGATCAAAGTACATGGCATATACACAAATATTAAATTAGTATTATTTTCATACACTTTATAATATAATTGTTCTGGGATGAAACGAGTCTTCACTCCATGTGGATAATGAATCGACATTGGAACAAAAATTTCTGCAACTAACAATGTTGAGTTCACATTTGTACAATTCTTCTGTGTTGGTACAAAAGCATAATAAAACACACCTGAATCTACATCGAATCTCAGTTGGACAGGTTGACCGGCAGTTGATTGTGGATATGTACGACTGAACGATTTCAACTGCATGAGAGAGAAGAAATTACGAAGTGAAACAATGTATTGCAATAATGTGAAATGCATATGTAAGCTATTCAATTTGAAGACAGTGTAGATCATAACCTGATAACTTAATAACCAAAGGAAGTAAGGAAGACTTAGAGAGATATACTAGGATGAATTAGTTATTCATATATTTCTAAAGGAACCATGAATAACTAATTTAATCGTACCTGACATAAATGAATAACCAAACACTGATAACTAGCTAGTTATATGATAACTAACTCCGCCTGTAGCTCTTCTAGAGTGACTGACGGTCCCAAGCCCGGGTAAAGGAGGAGGGTTGGGCATGGGGTTAGCGACCCCATCCCGTAGAAAAGCTAACTCGCTAAAAAAAACGCTAACCAGAAAAAATAATTCAAACCATTTAAACTCTGCCCTCCGAGTTGAAGGAATAATTATGACGTCTCATGATGAAAGCCGAATTTCTTCGGAGGTTACGAGACCGATGTACCTTCTAACAACCAGAGCAACACTCTTTATAGGTACATGGAACGTCCGGACAATGTGGGAGACAGGAAACACCAACCAAATAACAATGGAATTTAGGAGATACAACATGGCAGTGCTCGGAATCAGCGAAACCCATTGGACACAAACTGGACAACAAAGGCTAGGTACAGGAGAGATGCTGCTGTACTCCGGTCACGAAGGGGAAAATGCTCCACACACTCGGGGAGTTGCTCTAATGCTGTCCAAAGTAGCAGTAAATGCACTTGTGGGATGGGAATTTCATGGATCCAGGATAATCAAAACATCATTCAGGACAATGAAGGAAGGGATCACAATGAACGTTATCCAATGTTATGCACCCACCAATGATAGCAACGACGATGATAAAGATCAGTTCTATGAAAGGCTGCATTATATTATGGAGAAGTGCTCACGAATGGACCTCACCATCCTTATGGGAGATCTAAATGCTAAAGTTGAAGTGGACAACACAGGATATGAAGATATAATTGGACGACATGGACTAGGAGAGTGAAATGAAAATGGGGAGAGACTTGCAAACCTATGTGCTTTCAACAAACTGGTTATAGGCGGGACAATATTCCCATACAAGTGCATACACAAAGCTATATGGATCTCACCGGATCAAACCACAGAGAACCAGATAGATCACATCTGTATCAACAATAAGTTCCGAAGATCAATGGAAGATGTGAGAACCCGGAGATTATTATACTGATGACACTGTTCAGAATGAAAATTATAAATTCCTTCACCGTACAGAACATAATGACTTCAATAAGAAATTTGACATAAATTCAAAAAGGATATTATCAATTACAAAACCTACGGAAATGTTCTCTACATTTAAGTTGGAAAATAATTCATATCCGTCCCAGTACGTCCATGATTCGAAGTTCCTGTCTGCTGCATTCAGCACAGCATTACATTCAACCGTATTTATTGATTCTGGATTACCATCAGGAAGACACAGACCGAATTCTGTTAAAAATCGTCCGCCACCAGTGGACTGAACTATACTTCTCACATTTTTGAATGTATAATTTAAGAGAAGCTAAACACAAGCAATAACAATATCAACATTGATAAGTATGTGAATGATTTCTGCAATGAAACTAGACTACAATAAACTGCATACACTGTGTCAAAGCAATAACACATCATCCATTTTGTTCATTGACCTATCATTCATTACATTTATGACTTAGTTATGAAAAATTGCAAAAAATCAACAGACGTTCAGTATTCTCCATCTTCAAATGATTATGATTATATTTAAGTTCACAAGTACTTACATGATCGAGTGAGGAAAGGCACAAAAATTGAGTGATTTCGAATTCTGTGGTTTGATTACAAAGTAACTGGCTAGGAAAGAAGATGATTCTACAAATCAAAAAATCAGTCATTTCTTAACAATCCATAAATAAAGATTCACACAACACCGAATCATCAGTTCAGTAAGATGGAAATGAACTAATACCAACAAGTGGTATCTTGTCAAGCAATGGCCATTATGTCTAACTGACTAAATATCACATTTACCAGAAATCCTCCATAAGCTTATATGATTCACCATATAAGTTTATTGACAATGTTCTCGCGTTCACAATTGTTGAACCTGAACAATATATATGTAACTGATGTTCATTTGTGAGGAGAACTCATTCTAACATTGTAATTCTTAGTTGATGTGTCACGACAACAGCAAACTGTTATTCGATTATGTGTATCACAAATGATGGAATGCATCACATCATTGAGTCAGAATCCACGTATTCGTTGAATCAACTCAAACGACTTACATTAGTGTGAATAATATTTTTTATTGTTGTGTATGATGGAAATGAATAGCGCCTATTACTAGTTGTCACATTTTGCATATCTAATCATAGTGTTTACATTTTCGTTCTTAGATGACTCTGCAGTACTTTTATTGAGTTCAGTTCCGGTGTCGCGTTCACCCTAATCAGTTCATCATTTAATAAGGACACAATAAACATTCATCCATATCAGTTGTAACTATAATCTGTATGTTTAATGAAAAATTCATGGTTTCGTCTAACATCATACATTCTGTATATGCAGACCACAAATAGGAGCTCGAACTAAACAAATTAACTTGTTTGTCAATTTTGTTTGTAACAATCAACGTTTTATAAGTTGGTGTGAATAACAGATTGGAAGTGAACTTTCCGTGTATCTGTCGATGCAATAATCAGATTAGAATTCCACTTGACATCATAAACTGGAGATTTTGTCAACAAACAACATATGTACATTTGTATGTGAATTCCTATGGTGTTTGTGAAAAGGTTTCAATAAGTAAATGAGTTGAATGAAACCTACAAGACAAATGTTTTTACTTTGAAATCTAACATAAAATACATATTAATCCAATGCTTCTATCTCCACTTCCACTGTTATGATTATCATGGCTTCATAGAATTATTCGTCAGTGTTGCTTATTCATCTACGCCCAATTTCAGACACACCGATTGCTAAAACTTTTGCTAGTGACGATGATTCATATAAATCATGAATGTTACTAATTTATAGAAGGAATGTAGAAATTTCTCATCTTATTTGACTTGTTTTAATCAATTACAAAATACACTATGGTTCGAACAATTTTGCAAACTTAATCATCATATTGTTTACTGAGAGTATTTCCATGGCGAAAAGACAAATAAATAATTAGCTAAATGGTAATTGATAAACATGAGCAAGTCAATGGGTGTTTTTCAATCAATTCCAAGTAAATCAATTCTAGCTAATTAAATTTTAGGCTTAATATAAAGTAGAGAAATCAAAAGACTACAGCTAAAAATGGTAATCGTCGAATGTCAAACTACTAATCTGAAAAATCACTCGCTAAGACCTATTAAAGCTCTAGGTTTGATTTCTAGTAGTGTTGTAAACACGCACTACTGAATCGCATATAGTTGTCTGGTTAACGTAAGGATATGGTGTCAAATGTAAACAATATTTTATTACGAAAATACTCTGGGTCAGCGGTCCTTCGATCTTTAACTGAATGTAGTTGTTTTGAATATCGATCGAATAATTTAATAAAGGTGACAAAGAATTTCAAAATTTTTCAGTCAAGTCTGGTTATCAAGTTACGAACAAAAATCAAATCAGTCAGCTTATGCTGCAAAATATCAGTGGGTGAATGTTGGTATTAAGGCATCAAATATTTAAAATGCACATACACCACAAACAATAAACCAGGTAATGAAACTCTCACCTGATCACACAAATATTGTTTCCATGATGGCATATGCTCTGTAGCTGGTGTCGATTCCAATAGCCAACAGTAGTAATGATAAGATAATACACTCTTCTTTCTGGCCATCTTATCTTGTAATAGACCAGGAACACGTTGCATGCCAGTACCAGGTATTCCATTGACAAATGGAAAATATATTCCATAAGTTACACTCTCGTAAAATATCAATGTATCCTTGTCTGTTTGACGAATAACATTCACCAAGTAATCATAAAACAATAAAAGATTTTGACCTGCAATATCTGCGCGAATAGAAAAAGAAAAAGACCAGAAATGTAAGAACCGAAATAGATTTTCAGAATGAAGACAATTGAAAGTTAACAACAATGACTTCCAATATCGCAGCACATAAGGAAGACAGTCTATGTTCTGTTGAAATGAACATATCTGTGATGGACAGAATATTTTCCGAAATCAAGATTGTGGTTGAGCGTGAATAGTCCTACTTACTTTACATCTAGGTAAATACTTATTTTGCAAGTATTCAGTCAATTATGTTTATTCAAAAATGAACAATATTTGAGCGAACAATTGTTTTCAATAACTTCATCATCAGGCTCTACAGTTATAAGTCCATAATTATAATATTTTACAAAGTCCAAAATGAGGCATGTATTAATGAATTTGACAATGTTATATGTTAAAAATGGTAAACGTTTGCATCTGTTACGACATATATATACTTTAAAATTGTGTTATTTGTAAATTAGAAAGGTCATTTAATAATAAAGGTCAAAGTGATTTGTAATCAAGTGTCTAGTCACAATCGATTTAATAGTAATTTCGAAAAAATGAAAATGCAAAAAATTGTGTGAATAAAGTGCATAGTAGGAGAATTTCATCTTATCAAGTGAGATAATAATGATAAATAGTAATAGTAATAATAATAAGATTGTTGTGTGAATATAATATGTAATAAAAGGGGATGTTATCAAGATAATTACGATAAAGGAATTGGGAATGATGGATGTGAAGATTAAGATAAAGGTGATCAACAAAGAAAAAAAAAAAAAGGGGGGGGAGGTTTATAATATTTAGTTTAGGAAACCGGTGATCCAGTCGTAGGCCAAGGTAAACATAGTGGCTGGATATACTTTTTTTGGATGCATAAATTTGGTTTTCTAGAGTTGATCCAGATGGCTTCGGCTATGTAAAGTAATCGTAATCTAGCTCTTTGAGGTAGAGTTTTCGGAACTTGATATAAAACAGAGAAGGCTTCTTCTATTTTGATATGATGTTCACTGTCTACCAAGTGAGAAAGGATGGCGCTGTTAATGGATTTAGTGACTCCTTTTCCCAACCATGCTGGTACATGTTCACGAATACGCAAGGATAAAGCCCTCTGAGTACGGCCTATGTAACTAGCTCCACAGGAGCAGTTGAATTGGTATACACACATGGAAGAGCCCATCTTCGGTAACTTATCCTTGATTAATTGTGTGAGTAATTATGTTTATGTTTAGAAGAAAGAAATTAGACGTACAATAAAGCAACAACTCACAGTAATTAACATTGATACAATTATTAGATCGGTATAATTTTAGCTCACTCTAACTGAATGAAGTTGTCAATTAAGATTAATTAATTTACTTAGGTATTACTCAATAGACAAAATCCACTTCATTTGTTCAACTATGACAGTAATCTATTTTCAAGATATAGGTCATTAATCAATCCAAAAAGCAGGTTTCAAGTGACTTTAAATTCAATGTAACCATGTAACAACCCTTTAACAACAAATGATTATCATAAAATGTGATATGACACTACACTAAATACAATGACGTTATCTCAACCCACGAAGCTATTTGTTGTTTTCATATAAAGTTAGTATAAAACCAGACGGTTTATTACTTAATCTATCAAACTATCATTCATTGTACAAAGAAAACATCTATTTAACTTTCTCTACATAAGATTTGAATCTACTACGTTGTGATGAATATAAATAAATAAAACAATTTCCATGTTTCATATATTCTGATCTCTTATTGAGGTAAGATGGTGGTTGGAGGTGGTCAACAGGGAACCCTGTACTCGGGTTTCGTGCTACTTGGCACTCGTCAACAAGGTGTACCTGTAATCTTGACCACCTCCAACCACCATCTTACCTCAATATACATAGTGCAAGCAGTGTCGAGCCACCTAGACTGGTGGCCACATTGCAACTTGATCGATGGCATTTGATCAGCACTAAGAAGGACTTGACAGGCATGACATTGATCGCCACCCAGTGATCAATCAATTGTGATTCTGATCTCTTGTTAAATTAAAGTAAAGCTAGAAAGACAAGATATACTAAATAACATGGATTCATTACATTTCAAAGGTTCTCATCAGTTGGAAACGACTTGAATTTACATTATTACTCTAAAAATTCGTTTACACACAGTAATCAGTGGAGTTTAGTTTGAACTAGGATAAGAAACAAGAAGGGGAAACAACTTGTTCAACATAATGGGTAAGATCACTTTAGATCTTTATGTTGAATATAAAGTCATGAAAATATAGAAGGGAAGTTATCAATCATAATAAATAGGTAATAAATAAACATAAATGGCTAATAAATAAGTAATAATCAAGGTATGTATTTGACAAAGAATAAAAGTTAACGTCCCGAGTGAATGTCATTGGGAGTTTTCATTTATGCATTAAAGAGATAATGTAATTAACTAACGTTTAAATAATATAAGACAGCTATATTACAATGGAAATGAGAGGATTGACATTTTTTCCTTCTGCATGCGAAGGTTAAATTGAAAGCCGCAAGAAAGTAGATTGATGATAATTTATTAATATTAGTCAAATCTTACCACTGATGCCTAGAATTGCAATCGGTTAGTCTGTTTTGGAATATGTGCATACTGTGCAAATGGTCTCGACAAAGAGAGTATATAACAGGCTTGATAAGCAGAGATGAATGGAGGGTAGCAGTGTAATATAAAGCGCTCATTTCTCTCTATTTTAGATGTAGATATATCTGTATCAAAGAGTTAATGTTAAATAAACAAAAAACAATCAACAAATCGCTTTGATCATTGTAAGTTCACCTTTTGATGTTAGTTGTCATCATGGTAATAGAAAATTTATGCTTGTCATCTACCTTCTAATATTCAGATATATGTTATTCCATGTTGCCATATGTTGGTTCTGGACGAGCCAAGATAGAAACGATAAGATATCGGTTTATTTGCTTCAAAAAATATTTCATTGATAACCATCGATACGATTGATAACATTCTTCTAGAATCTGATTGCCATTAGAATTACTCAAATACAGTTAATCTCGCATGAAAAGTATGAGTTATGTGATAGCTGGTTATTATTGATCACAAGTATAAATTTCATTTTGATTGAGGTTATGAATTGACAAATGTTAGACAACCATTGAAAACCTTAAAGCACAAGAAGGCCATTCGGTTCTGAATTTTGAATTCTCAGCAGTGAGCATCAATGGTCCTGCAAGCGGGATGCGCACTGTTGAGGAATCACGTTTTAAGAGAAAACAGCTAAGGTTTTCAATGGCAGTTCAACATTGAACGGTTCAAGAACAAATTGACCTGAAACTCAAAACAAGATGATGTAAAATTGATTGTTTTATAGATTTGTATCAATCAGCAAATTTCTGTTGTAACCAACGTAATCTCTGTTACAGTCGAAACCGCCATTGGAATAACCTAACAACAATGACTTTTTCGATCTTAGTCAATTAGGATGAGAGTTGAGTTTCTGTACCCATGTAACTTTCAAGCGAAATGATCAACATATTGGGAACAGTTCAGCGTGCACTTTTTTATAAGCATCAAACACTCTTAAGTCGAACCAGCAGAAGTGAAACTGGGTTTGTTGAATGAATCGGAATTCCGAATTCCATCAAAATTGAACGCATGTGATTCTGTGGAGGAAACACTAAAAACTACTCAACAAAAAAGAACCTAGTTAAGTTCAATGTTAACTGTTCTAGAGAAATGTCAACGGACAAAATTTGAAATAAAAATAAAATAGTTGAAGGAATGCAATCTACAATCAATTAACAGTATTAACAGTATTTAGTCTTTCAGTTACGTAATAAACAACTGAATTCTCATTACACTAATGAAGTGAAGTTAGACACTAAACATTTGAAAGATTAAAATATTTATTCCATCAAATCATGCCTAAAGAACTTATTGGTATGTTAGCAAGTAACGTTCATACATTGGTCGTATGTGAAATGAATCTAATTTGTCACTTAGGTTAATGATGACAACATGAGACATAAATTGAATACTCGAGTTGAGCAAAAACACAAACCAATCGCCATATTTAAAAAGTGACTCCTTATCAGAATGATTAGGAAAAATATATCAATATTACTGGTTGATATCGAGGTTTGTAGACATTTTACGAAATCGAATTACCGAAGTGTAGTTGGGCGTAACTCGCATTATTTCATTGCCCTATTTGATTGTGATGATGGTCATTCTAAGTAATGATTCCTAATGTAATAACACTTATTACTTGTAATGATGCTGGTTTTTGGCTGACAAGTGGTCTGTTTGTGACTTCAAACTTGGAAGCTATTTGTATCCTGATAATTTGAGTGATTTATTTCTTATTACTTAACCATAGACCCCGATGATAGTAAAACCAGTGAGATCACATTATTCCTGCCAAGTAAGCTTTCAGAAAACAATATCACTTAAGTAAGTATCTGAATTTATCAAAACCGGTTCAGCTCCAGCTATTCACCTTTCTTTGTAGTTGGAAAAGCTTTTTCCTATTATTTTGTATTGTTTTCAAAGGTGAAGTTAATACCTACTTATAATTAAAAATAAAATGATTACAAACATTGAAAGGATGCTTGAACAACCAAATTACCGTCTTTGAAAATTCGATAATGGGATCATGGAAGAATGACAGTTTATCATAATGCTCATGGATTGCATGTTCGTGTCTGTGCAAGTTCCTTGGTGTGAATTACTGAGATGTTACAATATTAAACCGTTCAGTGATAGTTTTTTAGTTACTTGTGGAAATAATTTTCAGAAAATACACTGTTAGATACACGTTCGAATCAATTTTTTATATTTGACCAGGATATTGTAACTCAGAAGCCACCATAAATGTTGAGTTTTTGGTATAGATACTATAATTATAATATTGTAATCCGAAAATAACTCAGTCACATCTCCTATTGAATCAGGTTTCAATGTATTCTGGATTCGGTTAATAATCCATGATTTTTACTTCGATAAATGAACAAGCGAGATTTGCTTTAAACAAAACTAACTGGAATTCTGTTAGCGTAGACATATGTAAAAGTAATGAAAGAGAATTAGTCCAGACATAGATACAAAATGGAAACTCATTCTTGAACTATTGAACTCAGTAGTTTAATATTTACCGAACTTGGAGACTACAATGAAGTCCAAGTTAACTTTAATTCCTGTTTACGTGCTTCGAGTGTTTTCAATGTCATGATTTTCTAAGTCTTGGCAATCCTCAAACCACAATATGTTACTCACATTCTTGATGAGATCAAAGAGAATGAAGAATCTTTATTTCTTGTGAACATTTAAAATTTGAATTCTTTATCCTAATGCTTCAAGGCTATAATATGAATTTCACTGACCGATGTGAGTTAAGTGGTTACTTCAATTTAGTCTAAAGTTCAATCTTCGCGCTAATAATGTCATTCACTTGATTAATCTGGGCTGAATCATCAACACCTCCAAAAGTGATTCACGAGAATAATACTGAAGAGAAGAAAAAAGGAATTATGTAACAAAACCAAATCAATTATTAACTCTAAGAGTCAATATACGCTTGCTCTGAATGTAGAGAAAACGGCTTATCACTTACGTCCAATTCTTCCTTAATTAATTTTGAAGGAATTTAATTTTTTAAAAACCTTAATCACATTCCATCAATTTTAATGCTTATGACAGTTGCTGAATTTTTGTCTAATTATTAATATCCAGGTTAGAAATATGTCAGCAATTATTGTTGTAAGTCAACGTTAGCTTTTCTGAATAAGGTTTCACCTCTTAGTTTACCTAGAACCTGAACTTAGGTGAGGAATTCATGAAAAACAAACAGTTGAAACATAGTTAATTCTAAAATGATCTATCTCAACAATATGTCAACAAATAGAGTGAACTGAATATCATCTGAATGATTGATTGATTACTTTAAGTTACTCTCATTCCTTAAACTAAATCAAGAAAAGTGAGTGCAGATTCATGAAGAATAATTTCCTTTAGTAAAAATAATATTCAATCATATTGACTGAATTGACCTTGATGTAAAAGAAATATGTAAACTATTTGAATGACATACCGACGTTCTAATGTAAACTCATTGTAGAGGTGATACGACATGAAGTTACCACATATTTCTGTATTAGTTTATCATAAAAACATGTGCACTTTTAAAAATGAAAATATGCGCACTGATGTCCACATTGACGTGATTTATTTTAATTAGAATTTAGAATGATAATTTAAGTGGACTGATAAAAGGTGGACAAGTAAAAACCTGGTTGATTTACAAAACAATAAGCATCCAACGAGTTGAATATCAATTGATTTGAATGAATTCATAGCAAGTAAAAACAAACAAAGTCTCCAGTCAAATCAAAAGACTCTAAATAATGAAGGAAGCATTATGATGAAAATGTTTAAAAGCAATAGTAGTAAACTCTTGTACACTTGTCACTTACTAGGCAGAAGAAGAAATGGATTTAAATAAAAATTTCCAGGTGGTGGTTCATTTATCAATTCATAGCCTAAAACGTTATATTTCTTCCCGAAACGATCAGTTGTTATCCTCCAATATTCTGCAAAATAATTCCATAATCCTGAAACATTTTTATATATACTTTCAAATGCATGTGCACTCTCATATGTGGCGTAGGTTAAAAACCAGGCACTTTCATTAGGATATTTCTTTAATGGCCAAGGGTATTGGAATAAATAGGGTGGTCGCTTTATTTTATCCATAAACCAATAAGGCACAGCATCAATTGCACCGAGACGTTTCGATAATCCATCTTGATGCAAGTCAATGATAATATAAACTCCATATAATCCAGCATTGTCGATAATCTTTTCAATAGTATCTATATACTCTAGATTGGTCTCATTTTCATGTGGTTTTAATGCTATCCAGCTAAATCCTAAGCGTATAACATTGATTCCCCAATCTCGAAGTACTTTGAATGTATGAGGGTCAAGTAATTTTGGAATGTAAAATGGTGTGACTTTATGCACACAATTGATACCATGAAATAGTTTAATAAATCCATTTGAATCAACAAAGTAACCAGTATCATCGTCAATGGTCACTTTTCCACGAGCTTCTGAATATAAGACTTTTAATAATAATAATATCATTATCCATGACAAGCGTAAGAGTGTATTCACTGGAGTGTTCTTAGAATCTCCAAAACGTTCAAGTTGCTTTGAAGATCTTGTCAATCTCATTGAAATAAATAAAAATTTCTTTTAAATTCACAAGGACAATGTGTTTTGTTAGGGTTTAACAGCGAATAATTGTAAATGAGAAATATGTACTCAGTAATTTATTGCCAAGAGTTTTTTTATCAGTCAATAACTAAAATTTAAGTTTTTGTAAAACACGAATTGATAGTAGGAGTATATGGATTATGTACAAGTAATTTTATAATCACTGATGGGAGTGAATATAAATATGGTTTATATTAGATATTTGAGTTAAGTGAGACGACTCAAAATAGTTACAGTTTATTATGAATCATTTATTAGAATGGTTTAATTGGTCTTATGTATATGTGTCACAGTAACCTTGTATGTTTCAGGGCTGTTTCCAAATAATTTATCAAGTTATCATTGGATTAAAATTATTTAAAAGTAATAGTTGGTTGATGATTCAATTTTCAGTAGTTGTTCTACATTTTACAAGTATTTTGAAGCTGAAAGTTGAAGCAATGTCTACAAATTATAGATCATATTCAATCGTTATTATTGAGCATCTAAGTGTTAATTGGTTAACTACTGTACTGTACAAAGGAAACAGAAATCCGATCAACACTTTTCATTCAAATGATTTTCAATTCACAGAAACAATTTGAAGGCGAATCAGTATATCCTTTGTAAATCAAGAAATGAAAAGGTACACTTACTGTTAAGTCTGTTTTACGTTCTCTGTTCTTATTCACTTCACTCCGACATTTCTGTATTGTTTTATATTACTTATTATCATTATTCAGCAAATAGTTTTATTCCTAGCAATTTCTACTCTTATGTGGTAACGCACGTTGGTCATATAATATTCTGAAATGTTTACACATACTTATAATAATCATTCATTCATTAATAATGACTTGACATCAATTATTGTAGTAGTTATTCGAAATTTTGTGCAGTCGTTCAACCCCTGTTCAAAGTCAACAGTTTCCATATTGCTTGCTCTTAGTTCGATTTTTGCTTGTTAATTAACTGTTATCGAGTTTAAACACAACCGACTGTCTTCATATTTCGAACAAAAAGACGTTGTAAACACTGAAAACACCTCACAAGTTGTGGTTCGTAACTAAATTTTGTCTATTATTCACTAAATAATCACTATTTGAGACAAAACGCTGTTTGTGCTCTTCAATTTTGCACTTATCTCAATGGAGTGACATGAACGCTTCCATATGCTTATCAGTTATTTTCATCTTACACCGTAGGTTAAAAGTGACAATAGGTGGTTATTGTGTGCATCGCTATCTTCTTCCTGTTTGTATCAATCAAGTACTTTTGAGATGAAATATAAGCACGTTCGATATTTCTATTGGAATAAGAAAAATTATGACTATTTTGTGACCACATTACTTATTGAGAATCCAATGAAAATGAGTAAGATTTCGAATGTACGGAATAATAAGGTATTGGAAAAGAAACCGTGTAGTGATAAAAACAACCTGAAATCGTCTAAATATGTTCAACTGCATTTTTATGATTCAAAGGATTTTTCATTTGAAATGTAAATTCAGAGAAAGTTTTCAATTCCTTTGGTTTCCTTGTGTCTACTAGAATTATTACTGAGATCATTTGATGAGAAATAATAAGAAATATGAGATGCTAGTTTCTATCTAATTCAATTCTACAATATAAAAGTATAGTCAACGCTTTTTCTTCTGACTAACAATAATATGTAAATCAGTTCATAATAATTAAAACTCAGATCTGTAGTTCAGCTATTTCACAAATGAACACAACAAAGTGAAAAGTATAAACAGCTAATGTAAACGTGATTCTTGTGAGATCTGTATGTTACTCATGATCACTTAAACAATAAACCCATGATCATTTCATTTTAAATTATGGATTGAGTCAGGTTGAATGAGATGTTGATCTATTAACATTTAAATGTCTTTCCCTTCTACTTCATCAGTTCAATTTCACTGACATCATACCATAAATTGGCATCTTGTCAAGCAATGGCCATTATGTCTAACTGACTAAATATCACATTTACCAGAAATCCTCCATAAGCTTATATGATTCACCATATAAGTTTATTGACAATGTTCTCGCGTTCACAATTGCTGAACCTGAACAATATATATGTAACTGAAGTTAATTTGTGAGGAGAACTCATTCGAACATTGTAATTCTTAGTTGATGTGTCACGACAACAGCAAACTGTTATTCGATTATGTGTATCACAAATGATGGAATGCATCACATCATTGAGTCAGAATCCACGTATTCGTTGAATCAACTCAAACGACTTACATTAGTGTGAATAATATTTTTTATTGTTGTGTATGATGGAAATGAATAGCGCCTATTACTAGTTGTCACATTTCGCATATCTAATCATAGTGTTTACATTTTCGTTCTTAGATGACTCTGCAGTACTTTTATTGAGTTCAGCTCCGGTGTTGCGTTCACCCTAATCAGTTCATCATTTATTAAGGACACAATAAACATTCATCCATATCAGTTGTAACTATCATTTGTATGTTTAATGAAAAATTCATGGTTTCGTCTAACATCATACATTCTGTATATGCAGACCACAAATTGGAGCTCGAACTAAACAAATTAACTTGTTTGTCAATTTTGTTTGTAACAATCAACGTTTTATAAGTTGGTGTGAATAAGAGAATGAAATTGGACATCCTTTGTATCTGTCGATGCAATGATCAGATTAGAATTCCACTTGACATCATAAACTGGAGATTTTGTCAACAAATAACATATGTACATTTGTATGTGAATTCCTATGGTGTTTGTGAAAAGGTTTCAATAAGTAAATGAGTTGAATGAAACCTACAAGACAAATGTTTTTACTTTGAAATCTAATATAAAATACATATTAATCCAATGCTTCTATCTCCACTTCCACTGTTATGATTATCATGGCTTCATAGAATTATTCGTCAGTGTTGCTTATTCATCTACTCCCAATTTCAGACACACCGATTGCTATAACTTTTGCTAGTGACGATGATTCATATAAATCATGAATGTTACTAATTTATAGAAGGAATGTAGAAATTTCTAATCTAATTTGACTTGTTTTAATCAATTACAAAATACACTATGGTTCTAACAATTTTGCAAAGTTATTCATCATGTTGTTTACTGAGAGTATTTCCATGGCGAAAAGATAAATAGACATCTAAATGGTAATTGATAAACATGAGCAAGTCAATGGGTGTTTTTCAATCAATTCCAAGTAAATCAATTCTGAAGTATATTAGTGTTTTGATGTTGCTTTCATTATTGTTATTATTATTATCAATGCTAGTTTTGGTAGTGCATCTTTTCTCTGTGAATGTAAGAACCGAAATAGATTTTCAGAATGAAGACAATTGAAAGTTAACAACAATGATTTCCAATATCACAGTACATAAGGAAGACAGTCTATGTTCTGTTGAAATGAACATATCTGTGATGGACAGAATATTTTCCGAAATCAAGATTGTGGTTTGTGATGAAATTCACGACTCTCGTACCATTCTATTCGGAAATTATAAGATGGTTGTAAGCAGCTGATAATAAACGACGAATTGTATTAAATTCATATTATTCGACCTCAATGGTTGTTGTGTAATTCGTACAAGGAACCAATTGAGTGTCATATTATGCGTTTGCAAATACTTAGGTTTATGCGTAAAATCTAAAATAAAAACATGAAATGTGTCTGAAAACTATGCTCTTATCAACATGAACTACTGAATGATCTATAAAGCTCAATTCAATGGATGATTCAGATATTCATGGCGCATCCTTTGAAGATTAACGGAATGGTTTTATCACTGAAATATAATGAACTATGTAAATGATCCACATTGTTATTATTACAATCAATTGAATAGTTCATAGTTCTTCTACGTACTAGTTTAACTAGATTGAATACTGAATCTTGTCTATTAGAGATACCATTGAAAATCATGTTAATCATCAATTCACAAAAGTATACAAACACACACACACACCAAAACTACGGTTACTTTTATCAAATAAACTTAACTGTAGTTCAAAGTTTCATTATTGAATATAATTCTAAGAAGATCTTTATATTATTTTCAGTACTGCGGTTTGAATAATCTATCATACGAGGCATAATAAACAAACCATTAAGGCTGTGATATACAACACCATTTATCTAATTTATCAAGTAATGATGGATGAATATTCCCTTTCTTACGATCTCATCTACGTTTTATAAACTCCATGAACCATGATTTTCCATATTTTCATAAAGCGAAAATCATTCATCATCAGCAATGCGAAGGTATATCAAAGACCGAAAACGTTTCAATCAATGTCATCTTACTCTATAATGACCAAATCAAAAGTGTCTAATCATAGGAGGATAATTATATACTTGACAGTCAGTTAATTACTCAGTTATTCCACTAAATTAACGTGATTCAATAAGATCAACGAAATGACCAAGTATCAAATTGTATTCAGTCTTTTCTTCCTACTTTCACTGCAATTCGGAAATGTTAGTAGTAATTAATGTTTGAAATAAAGAGTACATTTAGATGTGTTCATTCTTAAAATTTTACTTACCAATCAGTCGAGAAAGTCGAATTCTTGAGGACTTGTGTTCAACATTTTTCGACAATGAAGGATTTATTATGATAAGTGTCTAGTTATTTCGTGTAGAATATGCTAATACTATCATGAATTTATAAAATCTTATAAAATAAAAATTATTCCGAATAACCGCGATCGTTGTCGATATAAACTAATCATAAATGCAACTTAAGAAAATAGACGTAATAACAAATAATACATTTTGTGGAACTTCGATTGAGTCGTGTGATCTAAGTGTTCAGAGAAAGAGAAGGAGATATCGTGAACTCACATAGATTATTTGATGTTTTATACAATATTTTCATATATTTATATCATTGGAAATGTTAGGAAACGGCATCATATTTTCACCTATTTCTAGATACACTTGAAGAAATATTTGCTGATCTATACAATAGTTCATGGATGTACAACACAGATGGTAAAGTTACAAATACATGTAACCACAGTAATATTTCTGCTCTATCAGAGTATACGAAAATGGTATGATATGATGAATATTTTTAGCTGTTTATTAATTTAAGGTTTTTCTTATTCTTCGAATTGAAATAGCTATTACACTGTTGATTATCATAATCTCATCAATGTTGTAAGTTGTCAATCAACCATAGAAGTAAATATTTTGTAGAGAGACAGTTCATAAAACACCTAATCCATGTACAGTTCTTGTTTGGATATTGATGTACGTTTTTAGTTATTGCAATCTTATCATTATTATCATTTGTTGACTTAAAAGTAATAATACAAATTCTAATCAAGTTTTCCGAAAGTTTATTTGTCACATTGAATTATGTACCCATTTGGAACAACATGTCAATCAACACAATTTGCTCATCACATTAATAGACGGATATCGGAGATCAGGAATCCACTATCAAATAATAAGTCGGACATGTATGCTGTCTGAATTATGTTAATGAATAATGATCCCATCACCTTTATTACAATTTATAATGAATAACAATCCAACTTTTCTACTCTTTATGGAGCTTGTCTTAATTTTTAAGCTACATGTTATTGTTGAACTAAACGCCTCTTTGAATTAGTGTTATCACCTCTGAATCAAAATTGTATTCAGTCAGACCATTAACATTGAAGTGA